CGCGGGCAGCGCGCGCCCCGCGGACGTCACTCCGGCGGGCTGTAACCCTGCGCTCGCCGGCGCCGAACAAAAGGCGTGTTGACCCAACGCCCCGCCTTCCTAAAACGCGTCGCTTGCCCAACACACCAGCCTCAATCGCCTAACGCAAGTAAAATCCAACCCGACCGCACTCGTTGTGCGCGGCTCCTGCACCTGAGGCGCCCGCAGCTCCCGCCACCGCGCCACGGGGCAGCCAGGCAGCGCACATGTAAGGAGATAACGCACGCCACACCTACCGGTACATCCATGTCAAAAGCCGCCTGAGCTTGCAGTAAAGCCCTCCACACACATCACCCACAACAAAAAATAAAGCCTGCAACTCACCTCCGTAATATTATTCCGAAAATCGGCAAGATAGTAACGCACCCCCCTAGGCGAGAGGGGGGATTAGACATTAACTCGGGAATTGAAGAGGAGCGGTGGCCTCTAATAGTCCGCTGCGAAGCACCGCGGTAGAATATTTTTAAAAAACGAGCGAAGATTTCACTTCCTCCGTGCAAGGTAAAACCGAAAACCCGACGTGGGATAGGGGGATTGCCAGTACTGCGGAAACACGGAACCTGGAATTTGCTCGCCAAGATTTTCCTTTTCCTATAACATAGTATAAACGATACCTTTTAAAAATAAACAAACAAACACAGAGTAAGGCAAACCAAATTATTTCTTTCCAAACAGACATAAAACTTCCTGAGACTGTGAGAAAACGGGTGCTGCCTCTACAGTTTCGAGTTTCTACCCCTGCTGAAGAGCAACTACATGGGATCGCCGCGCCAGCTCTGTCACCCCAAAACGAGCACAATGCCGAAATAACCATATTTCGCAGTAAAACGACGAGCAATCACTCCCTGAGCGATGCCAAACTCTTTTCCCAGCAAACCCCTGCCCGCTTAACACCCCTTTCCCCACAGCAGCAGTCCACCGACGCCAGCTGCCCTGAGGTGACAGCCAGGGGGACGGTGAGGACGGGTTTGGCGGCAGCCAGCACCGGAGCACGGCACCCGTTACCGCCCCCCTACCCTGCCCCCCCGCCGC